TCTGCATGCTGGGGCGTGACTCGGCACGCCCAAGCAATGGCCGCAGACGCACCAGCAGCACTTCGTCGCGCATCACTTGCGTCTCCTGGATCAATGTCGTGAAGGTGCAGCCTGCTTGCCAACAGTCCTCTTTCAGGGGATTGTATGGCATCTTGTTGACAATCTCCGGAGACAAGTCTGCCAAGTTCCCTGGCATTCGCCGTGTCAGCTCATCTGGATGATCCATGGTCATGGCGGCATCCATGTCGACCAGCTTCACACTTAGCTGGGCCGTGAAGCATATGTTGGCCGGTTTCACATCCAAATGTGCGATCGGCCGCTGGTGCAGGTACGCCAGGGCCTCGCAGGTGGGCGCCACGGCACTTGCCAGGCGCTGAGCGGTCAGCTGGCCGTTGCGCGCGGCAGCTTCCAGGGACTGGCCCAGGAGCTCCAGGCCAAAGCCCGTGACTACGCCCCTGTCCGTCACCAAGAAGAGTGCACGTACAATGTTTGTATGGCTGAGGCCTGCGAGGAGCAAAGCCTCTTTGTGAAGGCCTTCGCGGTCTTGCTCAGGGTTTCCCAGCCCGGGCTGACAACGGTAAAGCTTCACAGCAACAGCTTTGCCGCAGAAGCGTGCTCTGTGTACGGTGGCAAGCCCACCGCGGCCAAGCTCCGCCACCAGCTTCAGCTGGGCTTGGTGCAACTTGGGCAGCTCTGTCGCCCTTCGTGTGCTCTTCGGCTTCCCGAACGTGTATTTCGGCCCTGACATGCTACTGAATTTAGCCTGGTACTGTCCAGGGCCTGGCGTGGCAGCGTGTCCTTCGCGGAAGCGCGGCGCCTTCGCGAACGACATTGCCAGGCTCCCGACACCTTGGAATATCGAATTTTCCTTGAGCGAGGAATTCCTGCATCGTCGCGGCAAATCATGTGCAAGACCGGTTCACAGCTGCCCCCCCCCCCCGGTTCCAGAATGAATGGGACGAGGATTCCCTGAACCCAAAGATCCGTAAGCCCTAAGCCTGTTGATGCTCTGCTGCGCCATAGTTGTGGGGTTAAGGCTCAGGAATGTTTTCAGCACTGCCGCGCCCAACAGACCTTAACTTACTGCAAGGCTGCGTAAAAAACTAAACAAGTGTTCTTACGGTTGGACTCTGCAACGCCGATGGAATCGCGCTGCACCTTGTATTTGACCCACTGGCGCCCATCTACGCTGACCAGTTCGTCATGAGAATGTTTCCAACACCGCAACGGGACCACATCCAGAAAGCCATCCAGGCGAGTTTTCGGCGCAAGCGCTCGCGCCTCCGAGGCTTGGTTGGCCACCTCCAGCTCATGGGCCTTCCACAGTGACCAAGTGTCCCGCTTCACGCTGATCACGTTCAAGCCCTGCCCATCGCAGAGTGCGCTCGCAGGAGAACAAGTCCGCACAGGCAGCAGGCAGAAGGTTCGCGACCTTGGAGCTCCAGAGCCAGGCGTTCGCTCTTCGCCGGGACGGGATTGAAGGACTACTCTGCGTGCAGCTTTTGTCCGTGTGTACTGCCAGTAACGTAGTCGACAAAAGACTTCAGCAAGGAAACCGTGTGAATCGTCCAGCTGCTCATGTCCGAAGGAAGGTAGATGTATGTAGATGTAGGAGACTAGGATGCTAGGCAATGTGTTTGCGACCAGTCCACGGCACTCCAATCCGCAGGAGCATCGGGATCACACCGTCCATCACCGCTTCGCCAGCGCTGTGGAGGTGGAGCCCATCACCTTCAGCCCAAAAGCCTGCAGGAGGGTGGAATGAAGCTTGCTGCAGCCCGCCAGCCCGCTGCGGAGGTGGCAGCACATCTTGTCAGCCGAATAGCTTCAGCAGGGGATTTTGCGGTTGAGGTCGGCTCCACAGAAGGGCTGGAAGCCCCTCGCGCTGCAATTGCTGTCTGATGGCTGCTTCGGACTGCTGCAGATTTTCGTCCAGGAACTTCTGCATGCTGGGGCGTGACTCGGCACGCCCAAGCAATGGCCGCAGACGCACCAGCAGCACTTCGTCGCGCATCACTTGCGTCTCCTGGATCAATGTCGTGAAGGTGCAGCCTGCTTGCCAACAGTCCTCTTTCAGGGGATTGTATGGCATCTTGTTGACAATCTCCGGAGACAAGTCTGCCAAGTTCCCTGGCATTCGCCGTGTCAGCTCATCTGGATGATCCATGGTCATGGCGGCATCCATGTCGACCAGCTTCACACTTAGCTGGGCCGTGAAGCATATGTTGGCCGGTTTCACATCCAAATGTGCGATCGGCCGCTGGTGCAGGTATGCCAGGGCCTCGCAGGTGGGCGCCACGGCACTTGCCAGGCGCTGAGCGGTCAGCTGGCCGTTGCACGCGGCAGCTTGCAGGGACTGGCCCAGGAGCTCCAGGCCAAAGCCCGTGACTACGCCCCTGTCCGTCACCAAGAAGAGTGCACGTACAATGTTTGTATGGCTGAGGCCTGCGAGGAGCAAAGCCTCTTTGTGAAGGCCTTCGCGGTCTTGCTCAGGGTTTCCCAGCCCGGGCTGACAACGGTAAAGCTTCACAGCAACAGCTTTGCCGCAGAAGCGTGCTCTGTGTACGGTGGCAAGCCCACCGCGGCCAAGCTCCGCCACCAGCTTCAGCTGGGCTTGGTGCAACTTGGGCAGCTCTGTCGCCCTTCGTGTGCTCTTCGGCTTCCCGAACGTGTATTTCGGCCCCGACATGCTACTGAATTTAGCCTGGTACTGTCCAGGGCCTGGCGTGGCAGCGTGTCCTTCGCGGAAGCGCGGCGCCTTCGCAAACGACATTGCCAGGCTTCCGGACACCTTGGAATATCGAATTTTCCTTGAGTGAGGAATTCCTGCATCGTCGCGGCAAATCATGCGCAAGACCGGTTCACAGCTGCCCCCCCCCCGGTTCCAGAATGAATGGGACGAGGATTCCCTGAACCCAAAGATCCGTAAGCCCTAAGCCTGTTGATTGTGGGGTTAAGGCTAAGGAATGTTTTCAGCACTGCCGCGCCCAACAGACCTTAACTTACTGCAAGGCTGCGTAAAAAAATAAACAAGTGTTCTTACGGTTGGACTCTGCAACGCCGATGGAATCGCGCTGCACCTTGTTTTGACCCACTGGCGCCCATCTACGCTGACCAGTTCGTCATGAGAATGTTTCCAACACCGCAACGGGACCACATCCAGAAAGCCATCCAGGTGAGTTTTCGGCGCAAGCGCTCGCGCCTCCGAGGCTTGGTTGGCCACCTCCAGCTCATGGGCCTTCCACAGTGACCAAGTGTCCCGCTTCACGCTGATCACGTTCAAGCCCTGCCCATCGCAGAGTGCGCAGGAGAACAAGTCCGCACAGGCAGCAGGCAGAAGGTTCGCGACCTTGGAGCTCCAGAGCCAGGCGTTCGCTCTTCGCCGGGACGGGATTGAAGGACTACTCTGCGAGCAGCTTTTGTCCGTGTGTACTGCCAGTAACGTAGTCGACAAAAGACTTCAGCAAGGAAACCGTGTGAATCGTCCAGCTGCTCATGTCCGAAGGAAGGTAGATGTATGTAGATGTAGGAGACTAGGATGCTAGGCAATGTGTTTGCGACCAGTCCACGGCACTCCAATCCGCAGGAGCATCGGGATCACACCGTCCATCACCGCTTCGCCAGCGCTGTGGAGGTGGAGCCCATCACCTTCAGCCCAAAAGCCTGCAGGAGGGTGGAATGAAGCTTGCTGCAGCCCGCCAGCCCGCTGCGGAGGTGGCAGCACATCTTGTCAGCCGAATAGCTTCAGCAGGGGATTTTGCGGTTGAGGTCGGCTCCACAGAAGGGCTGGAAGCCCCTCGCGCTGCAATTGCTGTCTGATGGCTGCTTCGGACTGCTGCAGATTTTCGTCCAGGAACTTCTGCATGCTGGGGCGTGACTCGGCACGCCCAAGCAATGGCCGCAGACGCACCAGCAGCACTTCGTCGCGCATCACTTGCGTCTCCTGGATCAATGTCGTGAAGGTGCAGCCTGCTTGCCAACAGTCCTCTTTCAGGGGATTGTATGGCATCTTGTTGACAATCTCCGGAGACAAGTCTGCCAAGTTCCCTGGCATTCGCCGTGTCAGCTCATCTGGATGATCCATGGTCATGGCGGCATCCATGTCGACCAGCTTCACACTTAGCTGGGCCGTGAAGCATATGTTGGCCGGTTTCACATCCAAATGTGCGATCGGCCGCTGGTGCAGGTATGCCAGGGCCTCGCAGGTGGGCGCCACGGCACTTGCCAGGCGCTGAGCGGTCAGCTGGCCGTTGCACGCGGCAGCTTGCAGGGACTGGCCCAGGAGCTCCAGGCCAAAGCCCGTGACTACGCCCCTGTCCGTCACCAAGAAGAGTGCACGTACAATGTTTGTATGGCTGAGGCCTGCGAGGAGCAAAGCCTCTTTGTGAAGGCCTTCGCGGTCTTGCTCAGGGTTTCCCAGCCCGGGCTGACAACGGTAAAGCTTCACAGCAACAGCTTTGCCGCAGAAGCGTGCTCTGTGTACGGTGGCAAGCCCACCGCGGCCAAGCTCCGCCACCAGCTTCAGCTGGGCTTGGTGCAACTTGGGCAGCTCTGTCGCCGTTCGTGTGCTCTTCGGCTTCCCGAACGTGTATTTCGGCCCTGACATGCTACTGAATTTAGCCTGGTACTGTCCAGGGCCTGGCGTGGCAGCGTGTCCTTCGCGGAAGCGCGGCGCCTTCGCGAACGACATTGCCAGGCTTCCGGACACCTTGGAATATCGAATTTTCCTTGAGTGAGGAATTCCTGCATTGCCGCGGCAAATCATGTGCAAGACCGGTTCACAGCTGCCCCCGCCCCCCCCGCTTCCAGCATTAATGGGACGAAACCTTCGTGGAAACTGTTGAGGATTCCCTAAACCCAAAGATCCCTGCCTGTTGATGCGCTGATACGACATACTTGCGGGGTTAAGGCTAAGGAGTGTGGCTCAGCACTGCCCCGTTGCTTGCGCGATGCCCGAGGGCCAACAGGATCCTAGCTCAGAACAATCCCCCGCCCATGGCCTCTCGTCGGGCAGCATCTTCAGCCGCATGCGGCCAGTGAGACACAGGAACCACCTAAAGCTTCTCCGGGTCGAGGCTTCTGTGTCTCTGCGTCTCTGTGTCTCTGTGTCTGTGTGAGTCTCTGTGGGTCTCTGTGGGTCTCTGTGGGTCTCTGTGGGTCTCTGTGGGTCTCTGTGGGTCTCTGTGGGTGTCTGTGGGTCTCTGCGGGTGTCTGCGGGTGTCTGCGGGTGTCTGCGGGTGTCTGCGGGTGTCTGTGGGTGTCTGTGGGTGTCTGTGGGTCTCTGT